GTAATCCATAGATTAGTAGTTAAAGAGGCCGTTTAGTGGACCTCATCTACGACTAATGTATCGCACAGACCGAGTAAATAAATACTCACAATCTTATTATAGTAACAAGTTATATCCTTTTCATGATCAATCATACTTTTTGATCAAATTTTATTATTGAAACCAATCATAAACCTGTGAACATGTGCCAAATTAGACTGGTTTTTGACTTTTGAGAACACGTCCTTTGCTCTCTGTCTACTGCTTCAAGGCAGAGTATAAGCTGCAAGATAACAAGTAAAAAACACTCAGATAAGCAAAATTGCATCTGCGATGAAATTGAAAGATAGGTAATAAGCAGCTATAATATTACCTCCACATTTGTAACCGACAGGACGATCAGCGATGTTGCAGCGTTTAGGAATGGTCATTGAGATCTCTGGTTTTGCTCCGGAGCTCCTGGCTGTGGAAGAAAGCATGACAGCGCAAAGGCATTTGGGGTTCTTCCCCATCTGTCTCACTCGAACACAGCAAGTTGAAGACACTTTAGCAGATTTGTCTTGTGCAGCCATTGCGCAAGGAGCCAGTTTTATGGCTTCTCTATCTGGAGGGTTTCGCCCACATTCTCCAGCTCCATCGACAAGGGTTTTAAGGCTGTAGATGCAGAGAAATAGGAAGAAAATGCGAAGTAAAACGTGGGTGTTCATTCTTGAAGTAGACTTGGTATGCATTTACTACTTGTGGAACCTGAGATTTATAGCATCTGAAGTGCGCGGAGGATTTTGCAGGATCAAATAATATCCACATAGATGTAGTGGAAGAAGCACTAAAGGAACATAGTAATTACTTCACCTAATCAGTCGCATTAAGGGCCTCAAAGTGCATAGTTATTTTAATCTAAAGTGAGGTCATGCTGCACTTAGTCTCTAGCTAATCATTTGAAACCCTTGAGAAAGCAAAGAGGTGTTTTGACATAACAAACCAATAGCACAAAAACCAAAGAAAGAACTTCAGAAAAATGGTCTTATGGGCTTAACTGTTTCTAACAACCAATTGTATACCAGCCGTAAGAAGATAAAGATACTTGACTGCCTTTGTCCGGTAATCGTAAAAGGCGTTTATGAGCCTTTAGCAAGCATTAAATTCTTTCACTTTGAGTCCTCAAAGCTATTGATGCATAGAATCCAGCTCCATAGATATGTGAAATAGTATTAGAGAGGAAATCAAACATTAGGCTTAGTCAAAAGACTCAAATCCAAATGAGGAACATAGAAAAGTTCTCTCTTTTGATCAATATTTGATTCCAAGTAGTGTAGATAAAACCCTTCTTTGTACAGTAACTCTACTTTATTCACACCAAACAAGCATCAGAATCTAGCATCAAGAACAAAGCACAATCTATCACCCATTTCCTCGGATCGAATCTGTTTGAATCCACCAGTTAATATTCCAGATAACAAACAGCTCATAATCCCCAATCTAACTGAGAATATCATCCATCCAAAATCGAAAGAAACCAATCTGAAAAACCCAACCTTGAGTTAAGCATATTCCCT